AACTACCAGTAAATTTGAATTTTATGAGATGTTATGCGGTTGACCTAAATACTAAGAGTTTGAATTTCACTGTCATCTAATTTGAAAAATAATAATGTTCACGTGCAATGCTTAATCCTAAACCTAAGAAAGTTCAAATAAGTTGTGCTTACATTCACTACGATGTGATTACATACTCTAAAGAAGGATAAACCCCGTCTGGATTTTTAGTCTAATTACGTGTGCAGCAGACTTGACAATTATCATTGCGGTAATTTTTTCAAGGGGTTTATAGCTGCCACTTTGCTGTACGCAGACCTCATATATTTCTCAAATGTGACACTCAGACGAGACGTTCTTGCAGCTTTATGAAATCTCAAGATCATCTCTGCACAATCACTGTGGTCATTGAAACATATATACCAAGAAGCATCAAATGTCTGCTGCTCAAGACATGGATTAGATCAAAACAAAAAACAAAAGCAAAATGAATGCCAATACTTTCAGAGATATATATATATATACCTAAGTTGAGATTCTTCATAGCATGCGTGACTCTCAAGCATGGGTGTCCAGGTTGGGGTCATGTGCAATGTACGCCGTGCGACATAGATAGCCGATGCACATATCAGAGAAGGTTTGTAGTTCAGAGCTTCATCTTCAACCAAGCACAACTCGACCAAGAAAAATGCTAGATGTCCAAACTGGCAGAAGGAATTCAATTTCCGTTTGAAGAAAATCTTAGAGACTGAGTGAAGAAAATCAAGAGATCATTGTGGAATTCCCATGTTTACCTTTTTGTCTGCTTGGGAGGCCCTGAGAAACCGTAGCATGAAAACATAAGGAGTTGGTGCATTTAGGCGAAACATTAACTTCTTTAAAACAGCTTTCTCCTGCAGAAAAAAAATTAAAGTTACTAACTCCCATTAGCTAAAAAAAAAAGAGAAGAATATTTGTTCAGCATTGTTCCAACAAAAGAATTACATGGAAGCATTGATACTAATATTAAAATAGAGACTCATCACGAATTGGAATTAGTACAAGCAGTGCTTACCATTCCCAGCATTTGTTCTCTGGTGTATGACTCGGCTGATACACTGAGCAAGTCCATGATCTGTAACCAGACAAACAAATGTTTTAAGTGTTGGGTTACAGGTATTGACTCAGTAACTAGAGTGCAGTGAGGGTGCCTAATTATTTTAGCAAGTATTTACCCTCGGATGCCAAAAATCCTCATATTTTGATGCCAGCAAGAGTGCAGTGAGGCCAACTAGCTGCAATTCATTTTTCTTGATGCATACTTGGGAAATATACTGGTCTAAGACAGTAACCGTGAGAAACAGAGTCTCTTGCATCAAGTCAAATTTCAGATGAACCTGTTAGATTGGAAAGTATTTTCAAAAAGATACAAACAATGCCATGAAATCAATGAAAATATATGTGCAGAGTAAATAATTAAACACAATGTGTACTTCGATAAGCCAATTTATTAATATGCCACGCATATGAGGTGTAATTTCTGTTTGAATCTCCATGTATCTTCTCAGAGGATGATGCTGAGCCTGTTATTTGAGATTGGCAACAGAAAAAGGTCAAAACTTTTATAATTACAGAAAAGTTTAATACTTAATAACAGTGACAAAGATAAAATTAGTATACAAGTAATGAATATTTCTACCTCCATAACCCAATAATACTGATAGATGTCATCAACATATTCAGAGACGTCAAGATGGTTAGAATCATCGTAAATCTTTGGCAAATAGTTTTGTTCCATTAGCCTTGTTTGCTCCTCCCATTGCTAGATGATTTACATGTTGTTACAAAAGTGTCTTGAAAAAATGTACAGATGGTAGGAAAGGAAAGAAATGGACTTCGGAAATAAACCTTTGGTCTTGTCACCAATAGAGATGTGAAAGATTTTCTCCGCGCAGACGATTTCCTCGTTAAAATATCAGCTTCAGATGTAGATAACTCATGGCTGTTGTTGGAAGGAGCATCTTCTGAAGGCAGCTTAGAATGTATTGGACCAATATATTTACAAAGAGAAGATGTGCCAAGTAATTGTTTCTGCTGAGATGAAATGACATATTGAGCATTTGAGCTGCTCTGGCAATGTGTTTCTTTCGATCGTGCAGCCATCTGAGATGCAGTTTTCAGAATAGGTTGAAAAGCAGAACACACAACAAAGCATAGAGTAAATAACGTTTCTAAAGTAGTATATTGTTTACCCATTTGGATGCAGAGAATGTTTTCTCAAACTGACTTGTTTAAATTCATTTTTCACACTTCAGAAAATGCAAAAACAAACTAAGTTGTGAATTCTTTCCTACAATATTATAGTAAATTTAATACTCCGGTTAATAACAATAGCAATCGTAGTTGAGATAGCATAATAGGTTATAAACATTACAATACATAAATAAATAAAGTGAATATTGTTAAAACAGTATATCTAACTGCAATGACTCAACACACACATCAAAAGTGGATACCAGTATACCACAATATGAGATTTCTTACTTGTGGGAGTTGTGGTAATATGCTTCTACCAACCTTGGGCTTTGCTGAAACTAGCAAAACATAGAAAAATATAACAATGGTCACACAACTGTCTAGTGTCAACCAAAATGACCTTTTTTATTTACAGCAAACAACCTGGAAATCCATGTTTTCCAATCCTCTTATTTAAGCTCTCGGCATTTTCCTAACACAAATTAGGATTTACATGGGTAAGCAACGTGAAACATTTCCATGCTGATAGTAATGATAGTTCTTTATAAGGTTCAGAGATAGCTTACTTGAGGCAAAGTGTGTCGTCCGAAACTGGACTTTGCTGAAACTAACAAGAGAAAAAAAAAGTAATACTGATGAAACATAAGTCCTATGATTGTAAACAAACCGCGCCACTTAATTTTGTGTCTAACCTCCAAATCTTTTCTTGTGTATCCCTTTCTCCAAAACTTTGGCGTTTTCCTATCAAATTAGCATAGATGGTTTTTCACATTCAATGCAGCACGATGTAAGTTAAAAAAAGAGATGTGAGATAGTAAAAACCTTCTTTATATTGCTCATATCCATTGCATTTGGGTCCTTTAATGTTGGCAGAGACTTCCTACAAGTCATAAAGTGAAATATGTAATTGGTACACTAGATAAATAAAAAGAGATATTAACGTTAAAAATACCTTGACAATAGAAGATGAATTTTTCCCGTTCAGAATAAACCAAAGGTGAAAGCCACAATCCCATAAGATTGAAAAATCCACACTTTTCACAAAGATATTTAAAAGACAGACATATAAGAAATTCGGTCACATTACCGGCTTCTAGTGGTAAAAGATTTAGTGCCGTGTCCCTTCTTTGCATCAACTGTATTGACAATGTTAGCCCGCTTTAATGCTGGCAAAGACTTCCTGAACCATACAGCCCATTAGAACATTTTTTATCGAAACAATTGAGAGGGATTAACAGAACATACACAGCACACCACCACACACACCTTAGTGGCATGAGAGGATTCTTGCCCGTTGTCCTTAACAGAACAAAAAATGGAAAACTATAAACACATAATATATAAAAATCTGGAAGTTTCATTACACCAGCAAAGAAAGATGTGAAAATGATATTAATTCAATGACAAAAAATAGGCCACCTTACCTGTTTCCAGTGATAGCAGCTGCATGGCTTTTGGCCTTGGCTCGTGGATCATCAGCAGCAGCCTTCAAATGTTTGTTGGCTGCAACACTTCCTACAAAGAAGCAAAAACTCAAAATAGCATAAAAAATCCTGTTACATTTTCTCCCAAAATGCTACTACACTGTACCCCATAGGCTAGGCATACCTCTCATAAATCTATGATGCTTCCCACTAGCTTCAGCTAGGCCCACTGTCATCTTTGCCTGCTCGATGAAAAAATTACAAAATATTCGAGCAGGGAAAATCATAAAACTTACCAAGAATGAAAACAAATCTTATGAAGTAATTTACATTTAAAACTGAGGAAGGGGCTGAGAGTGAGAGGCTAGAGAGGCACCCTTTCCTTATATCTTTTAGAACCAAGGATCTTAGCAAAGAAAATAAGTATTGAATCAATTGATAAGAGAGATTTCACTTGTCCTATGACTTTCATACCATCGATGGTTTTCTTGATGATATATGTGCAGTTGTAGTCCTAGTAAAAACAGAACTCCTGGTAATGCACATAAAATGAACTAGTTGATTATTGAGAAGTACAGTATCACTGGATGCAAAGATGGAAGTGAAGGATATTACAGAGAGATTATTTATCAAATTATGATATTTCACTGTAGCAGAGAACCCAACTAAACAGGCATGGTAACATGAAAAACAGACACATAGTGCTTACCGCCGAAGGAAAGGAAATTTCTTTGCATCGGTCTTCCTGCATTGAAAAAAAATTCTTGAGTAAAGAATCATGGATTAAAAAAGAGATCCAACAGGGGGAGGCACAAATGCTTTGTGGGAAAAAATACAGTATTTTGTGAGTAGGTTGCAATTGCATAAATATGCATATCATGGAAACTAACAAGATGTTTCTTACTTTCTTTTTATTTTGAATAAATATCAATCACACCATTTACATAATCTTAATATGCATGCCCGTACAAATGAGGCAACATTACTTGGATAGTGGAGTGGTGGGGGAATGGGGATGGGAGGACCACTCATCAGGCGACTCTCAGTATCTCACCAATTTCAGTAATATACACAGTACCAACAGAAAATGATAATAAATTCATGTTTGATTTAAAGTAAGAATATAGTAAGAAGAATTGAAAACACACCATTGAACAATAACATCATAATTTTTGAGTGATGTCACAATCATTCATAAGTATAAGCATGGAAAAATTCATTTAAAAAGTTAAAGCACATCATTAAAGGCTATCCCTAGATACGCTTTAAGTAAAAAAGGTGACATGCTCTGATACCCCCACCACACACACACACACACACCAAAAAAAAGAAGAAAAAACTTGCAATGCATAGGTAATGAGAATGAATTACTGTTGTGTGGTTCCATCATGATATTCAGTTCTTGAAATGCTTCCCTTGGTATTGCTAATATCAGGCAAACTTTTTTGTCTGAGCTGAACAGAAATATGGCTCCTTGTGTTGCTGATATCGGCCAGAACTTTTCTTCCAACTTTAACTGAAAACCAAGTGTATAATGGGTAAACCACCTGAGGGACAAGTAAATTTTTAAGTATTCTAACAGTTCTAGTTGGACATCACCTCCACTACCATGCTTGCTTTTACTTTTCTCCAGCTTCCTCTTTCCAATCAAAGAAGTTGAAGCAGTTAAGTCAATATTAGCATGTGAAAAGGGGAACATAAAATGAGCTTTCCAAATTCATAAAATAAAACAAATAAATGTGCATTTAATGAAAGGTATGCTAACCTTCGAAGTAGTGTTGTTCTGCATGACACTACTATTAGACAGTGAGGATTTCCTGCATCAAATACGAGAAACAGTTATATAAACAAGCAATGCTTTTACATTACAATATTGGATTATGGAGCATTTGATGATCCATACCATAGTTATTAAAGGCGCTCGCCTCTCTCGCCTATGGCGCCTCAGGCGACCAGGCGAGCTCTTAGCGCCTCAAGGAAGTCAGGCGAGGCGAGATCCCTAAGGCGGTCGCCTTTCTCGCTTTTCTCGCCCCAATCACTGCCTCAGGCCTTCGCCTAGCTCGCCTTTCTCGCCTCAAGCACTGCTTTAAGGCTTTAAGATATACAATGCATAATATTTATTGCTATATATTACTCCATTATATATATATATATATATATATATATATATATAGTATCAATATTATGTGTTTATACATACATACATATAGTAACATACTTTATACACACATACACACATACATACATATGTATGTATGTATGTATGTTCGCCATTTGACCGCCCGCCTCTCGCCATAAAAAAGGTCCTCTCGCCCGCCCCTCGCCCCTCGCCATTAATAACTATGATCCATACGACTATTTACACTATTGAATATATGAAACAACAAAACCTCCTCGAAAATGAAGCAAAAGTCTAGAAGTGCGCAGAAAACCTATGCTTACTTGGATCTGGTAATGCGAGAAATGTGGCCTCCATCCTTAACCCTCTTCTCATCCAAGTAAATGTGAAAACTTCTTAGCCCTCCTGCAACTAAAGCAGTAAAATGACAAGAATTCATAACACAACAAATACATAAGCAACAATACACTCGTTATATTGAAATGAACAAAGACGATAGTGTTTATATAGAAAATGGAAATTGATCCGTACCATTCTTGCCCATCTTAGGGTCCTCCTTAGCACGATTAACGATTGAGTTCGACTTGAACTGCCCCAATAGTTAAGAAGAACACGATAGTTGAAGCAGAAATCCAGAATAAAATCAAGAGGAGTAACGAAAAAAACTAGGGTTGAAGATTTGGAGTTACCTTGACGGCCGCCATTACTTGCTTTCTTCGAATTTAATCAGTTGTTGTTGTTGAATCAGTGTGTGGTTGAATCATGGAAAAGCACCACGTTGAACTGCAGAACATCGATTGAAATTCCAAAGCTGCTCTAGCAGGCGATGGCCTTAGGGAGGTGTGAATGGAGAGAGAGCCAGATTACCGTTGAATTGAAGAATATATGACGACGCCTTCCCCTGATTTGAATTTTTCGATTCTTTTTGCACTAAGGACGTATTTATCTTGTATACCGTACCAAATATTTCGGTTCGTTATGGGATTTTGCTTCGTACCGATCCCGATCCAGAAATATCAGTTCGGTATGGTTCGGGATGGTTCGGTATCGGTACAAATTGGGATAAATATACATACCTACTTTACCCGTTAAAATTTAACAATGCTCATTTATTTTTGAAAATTAAAAGCGAATTTAAATAAAAACAAATATGAAAAATTAAAAAAATGAATTATTAAATGCAAGAGATGTGCATCAAAACTTAGTTTATATTTCACAAACTAAAAAAATGAATGGCAACAAAGGAATATTTCGAATCTTTGCGAATACTTTTATGTTTATACACAAAAATTAAAACTCAAATAAAAGTATAATTTTCACATCATAGAACTTGAATCAATTTTTTCTAAAAAATTCTTATTTAGTGAATGAATATAAAAATATTACTCCGGGGTATTATTTTTATAATATTTTAGTATATATGTTCGGTACGGGATTTTCGGTATGGGATGTCACCTCGTACCGTTCCCGAATACCATACCGACCATTCGGTTCGGTACGGTTTGGTTTCTTCTCAGTACTTTTTCGGTTCGGTATTTTTCGGTTTGATATTCTCGGTTTTTTCGGGAAATTTCGGTATCGGTTTGGTACTTGTTCACCCCTACTCCAGCCGTTAGTTCACTTACGACCGGTTTGGTTTGATTAATTTAACATTGGGCGACCCAATGTCATATCCCCTAGTTCTCCATCCCATTTTTTATAGGTAAAAATGATTTAAAAATAACTTTAATCAAACATATTAAATCAAAACAGATGATTTGAAATGAGACGAAAGAAGTATAATTTTATCAAAAGTTAAAAAAATTCTGCTCTATTTTCTAGAAATGATTGCAATTTTATCTCACTTCTTTATAACCTTTACTTATTTGCAAATTTTCATTACTATTTGATAAAATAAAATATTGTTTTCACCTCTTATTTTATAGAACTATTTGTAATTTTTAGTTTTTATCAATATACCAATTTATAAATGCAATGATTTCAAAAGATAATAAATTTTATCTGGTAATATGAAGTATATGAGTTCATACAAAGCCCAAATACTCCATGCCAAAAATCAGTTAGTAGAACGAAATTAGTGTGTTGAGTGAATTTACACTATATACGGAGTCCGGCGCTGTGTCACTAGCTGAGCTGGGCTGCGGCGGCGGCTGCCATGGCTTTCACCGCTCGGCTAATGTTGCGAATGTCGGCGTACCCACCCTCCGCTGCCAACACGCTCCAAGAAATCGCTTCGAACCAGCCCGGAGGCCAGTTCCATTTTCATCTCCCACATTGATTCTCTTTGCTCATGCGATGCTCCTTTTACTTAAGAAATGTTATACTAATAGTCTCTGGCTTGCCGGATAATTTTCTCCAGGCGTGGCGAAGGTTGTATTGAAGAAAGGGAAGGCCCGAATTTTCTCCAGGAATGGAAGCCCCATGGTTTACAGCGGCGCCGTTGACAGGATCATCGGCCGACCGCCGCCCAAGACCGGAGATGTAGTCCTCGTCGCCGATGGAACCCAGAATCCAATTGGTTGGGGATTTTACAACTCTGTCTCCATGTTTTGCGTTCGCCTCATGCAACTACACGATGAAGCTTCCAGGTCACCCTTTCTCCTTCTTCCCATTTTCCATCAATATATGCTTTCGGAAATGCTTGTGGTTGCAGATTATGTTTTACTGTTAGTTTTTTTTTAAAAAAAAAAATACAAAATTACTTTCAGAGAGCCTTTGTGTGCGCTCAACGTGGAGAATCTGCTGGAAAACAGAATTTCTGCTGCTTCACAACTGCGCAACGGCCTCGGCCTTCCTTCTTCCAAAACAAATGCATACCGGCTCATCAATAGTGAAGGGGATAGGTGCATTTCCTTTTACTTCACTACTATTATAAGAAGCACTGCTTTCTTCGTAAGATTTTGTGTTCCTATACAATTCGTCAAGATCAGATGCATGATGTTTATTATATTGTGTGTCCTGCATATGCACTTTACCAGTTAAACAGAACACTCATTTCCCACAATTGTTTCTTTCTAGATGCATACTTAGAGCATGCACATTACAAAATTGATTCATGCAAGTTTCAATAGTTGCATATTGCTCATTTCGTTGATGAAAGGGCTTCACATTTTGTTGCTAATATCATTTCCAATCGATGAATGAATAAAAATGAGATCTTGAAACTGAAATTGCAGAAAAATGCGCATTTTTCATATATACCAAATCAGTGTATGCACATTTTCGTGTTATATAAAACTCATGGGATGTACATACACGGATGTACTGTATAATTTGCCTAATATTTCAATTCAGTTGTTATCATTGTTGGATAACTTGGAACAGTAACTTAAGTAACCAGTTGTATGTTCTTGTATCTTATAAGTTTAGTTGTTTAAATAAGGTCTCCCTTGTTGCTTATAGTTTGATCTGCTAGACTGTCAGGTTTGATTGTTGATGTTTTTGGAGATTTAGCTGTCATTGCTTCATCAGCTGCTTGGGTAGAGAAGTACAGGCAGCAAATAGAATTTTGCGTCAGTAGAATCAATGGCATTAAACATATAAGTTGGAGACCATCAGTTGAAATCCTCAAGGAAGAAGGACTGGAGTTTTCCAGCTCAACAAATACAGATTTAGCTCCTTCTCTTCCTAAAAGAGTAAAGGTAAGCCCTTTTGATATCTACTCGAGTAAGGTCTGCATACACTCATACCCCCTAGACCCTACTTATTATGGTTTTCTGTTGTTTGTTGTAAGCCCTGATAAGGGTTTGTTCTGCGTCATGTATGACCTGGCCTAATACTGTAAGTTCCTTAGGTAATGGAGAATGGGATTTCCTATATGATATCAGTGGATGGTCAAAAGACTGGCTTCTACACTGATCAGCGTGAGAACCGCCAGTTTGTTTCTACCATTTCTGAGGGTTGTAGGGTTCTTGACATGTGCTGCTACACCGGAGGTTTTGCCTTAAATGCAGCATGTGGTGGTGCATTGGATGTCACTGGTACAACCCAAATTCTATTAGTATTACTGTTGATATTGTATATACTCTTGTGTGTTATATATATGCATCTGGTTTTGTCAAAAATCATTATAAAGAAAAAGTGATCGACCAGATTGAAATCTAAAACCAAGCACCTACCTTGGCATTTACCCATCGAGGCTAATGTGCTACTTGTGTGACTCTTAAAAAAGGTGTTGATTCGTCATTGCCTGCATTGGAAGTTGCCAAAGAAAACATTGCTCTGAATGGAATGGGTTCGAAACGGATCTCCTTTTTGAGACAAGATGCAACTGAGTTTATGAAGGATGCGCTTTCTAAACGTGAAAAATGGGACATAGTTATTTTGGACCCTCCTAAATTCGCACCTCGGAAAAAGGTACTTGTTTTGATTCGATTGCATGTCCGCGCCTCTCTTGAAGTTGTGCCCCAAAACGATCGTGTGCCATTGTGCGAGCACTGTCTCCTCGATTGATTCTAATGTTTTTTATGACCCTATTTTTTGTTGGATTTTATTGGGTCTGTTTATTTAACCAGGTTCTAAAAAGTGCATCTGGAATGTATAGCAATTTGAACTCCTTGGCCATGCAGTTAACAAAGAAAGGAGGTCTACTTATGAGTTGCTCTTGCTCTGGAGCAATGACACAAAGTGGAAAGTTCCTAGACATTCTCCAGGCAAGTTTCTGTCACACGTATCCACCGGACTCATGAAAATACTCCTTCAGTCCCATATCAATTTATTTTATTTAGATATTGGCATAAAAAATAAAATAAAAAACTTACATTTTCAAAAATTGCATCAAAAGTTCAACAAAATAAATGGTGATAAGAATATTTTTTATCTTATAAGTCAAGAAAAATTACTAATAAATAAAAATTCTCGTGAAGTTGAAATAATGCACACTGGGACAAACGATGTGGGATGGACGGAGTAAAAAAGTCCAATTGTCCATAGTTTGGCTTGGTTAATAATTTTTATGTTCATTGTAAATTGTTAATCCTGTTTTGGCAGGGTGCTGCATCGACAGTTGGGAAGAAAATCACGGTCGTGCGCAAGGCAGGAGCAGCGTGTGATCATCCTATGGATCCCTCATACCCAGAAGGAGAATATCTTTCAAATTTCTTGCTTAGAGTTGTATAGGGGTTTCACTTTCGTTCATTAACACGCAATGTAACAAACTGTTGTAGTGCCCTCATTTTAAGCGCAAACTAGTATTTCTTTGCAATCTTATACAAACAGTATCAAGAATCAAGAAAACAACAAAGCTTAGATATAGCTAGAGCGGCTATTATCAATAAGCCCCCAACTCAAATCAAGAATCAAGGAACATAAAATTTCAACCATCACCACAAGTTGAGACATCGATACGTTCACAGCATACAGGTTTTGAAAACTATGTTTACACTTTTTTCACAACTTTGTTGTAGTTTGTACATGATGGATGATGGGTACATTACATGAAGATGAGTGATGGCCTCCTAGTGTCCACCTGGATTCCGGTTCCAGGACAGGTATGACGGGTCACCAAGTTGCCTGCACAAAGTGGAACATGTCAACTGCTGTGTTCATCACACAATATTAGGCCTACATCCATATGGGGGAAGAGACTGGAGAGAAACATTAGACTAACATCAAACAAAGAAAAATTAATGTGCATTATCTGCAGATTTGAAAGCCTAAACCATGTTAGTAAATACAAGGAACACATCTTGGGAGGTTCCAATGAAATAAAAACAAGCAAATCAGCACACAGAGCAATTCATATGTTGGGTTCACTAAAATTAACTCATCGAGAGAGCAGAGCAGTTATTGTTGTTTGCTGCAGTCAATATGAGAGAAGTTGAGACTGATTGTTGCAAGGCATGCTTAGTAAGAGAGAAAAATCATACCTTGGCTTAACGAGATATATGAGTGTGAAAACTATAGCCAGAAAGAAGCAAAGGCCACCGACTGTGAGGTATGCAATGCCGAGAAAATCATTTTTCCCACCCAGCCAGCTAGTGGTAGAAAGCACAAGCTTTTTCTTCCCATTGAAACTGTAAGTATTGTAATTATTCTTCAATACGACTTCAATCACATCATTTGCATTAAGATCCACCTCTATCCTCCCATACAACTTCCTAAATGTTGGAAGAGCAGCAGTTCGCATCCAAACAATCAGGTCCTCCTGCTCGCTCAACTGTTAAAGCAAGGAAGCAAGGGGATTGAATAAGTGAGCCTTTAAAAAAATATTTCCTCACATAAGATGTATATAGAAAATTGAATTATAATAGAACTGACTCTTTCAGCGAATCCAAGATATTAAATTAACCAATGATGCATACACATAGTCCAGCTTAACATGTGCTTTGTTTACTGAATTTTGAATGGAAATTGAACAGATGATGGTATATCAATGCCGAAACACTGCTGTATCTTATAATGTAGCAGAGAAATAAATATTCATGGCAGATTCATATACATAGGTATATGCACATACTCCATGTATCTGAGCAGTGTTTAAGAAACCCTATAAACAGTTCCAGTCATAAGCATAAAAAAGAAACTGTGATAGTATGATATGATTTTGTTTTGCCCAGGCGTTTGGGAAAAAAATACACAGCAGCATATTGTGTGTATTAGATTATCTTCCTCTAGAAATAAAGTGAAAAAGGAAAAAATAAAAACAAACAGCGCCAGCACTTACAGGCTTGCTGATGTCAAGTTTCCCACCACCGATCAGAGACCCGTTCTGAAAATTCTGTGGGAAAACATCCTTTCCAAACTTGTGGTCCCTGTCACTCTTCCATGATATCTCACTTTTGTTTACATTCAGCTTCCGCTTGTTGCGGGAAAAGCTGTATGTATCATTGAACAAACTCCATGCAATAAGGCCACATGGAACTATAGGACTCCCATTTGAAGAATCTTCGGGCTCACAAGTGCTGATTTTATCCTTGCTATCCTTATCCCTTAGCTGTTGATCGCTTCGGCTCTTAACATACCTGGGAAAAAATGAACGCGAGTCACTGAGTCAGAAACACATATGATGGTAATTTATAATACTCCATATTAGTAAGCATTATTAACTAAAGAGTTGCACTCATGCAACAGTGGGTATACTGGGTAAAAAAATATAACACAGACAAAAACCAACAGAAATGAAATAAATTCGTAGACAATGTCACAGCGGTAAATCAAGACAAGAAAATTCTCATGCACCTGCGGTGATTTTGATAGAAATTGTCAAGTTGGTAGTACACATAGATAGGGTGCTTCATATGCTTCGAGACCTATACCAAATTAAAAAACCAAACCAAATTATTATACTGTATATTTGTGTCTCAAAAATTCAGTGTGACCAGAACAAATATGATCTGTTCCAACAAAACCTTCTATAGTCTATAGTACTTGAAACAAAAACATCACCACTCTAGAAAAACTTACTCTGATCGTCCTATGGCAGGTTTTATCTAGAGAACTTTGTATAAACTCAACTTCCTTCCTTGAATAGTTGCTCGGTATGCAGTCAGCTTCATACCGATCAACAATCTCTACAACCTGATGAAAAAACCAAAGAATAATATAGCTTTCATGAACATCATACCTTTAGTTGGTTTCTCATATAATTTTCTAGAGTTTCTTCTCTTTTTTTTCCTTTCAAGCTGGGATGTTTTTAGGTAAGAGTGTGAAGTGAGACAGTGAGTCATTAAAAACATCATGTGAGAAATTACGAGCGTACATCTCGAGAAGCAAACAGAGAAACCACTCCAATGGGAATAAAGACAACACCAATTAGCAGAAAAGCTGAGATAACCTGCATTACGCAACCAGTTGGGAAAATTTAATCAATAGATTTCTGGGCAGATCATCTCACATGGCAAGAATTCACAAAAAGGGAACTTACCCATTTTGGCGTTAAAATTGGCTTGCAAGCAGGAAGTTCCTGTTGTGTAAACCTTGAATCTGAAGAAGGACAAAAACTATCATTTTTAATCTTCTTGTTCGTATTTTCCATGTAATACAGCCAATACAAGTAAACCTTGCTCGGGAATAATGTAAATAAGTACATATGTATTTGCTCTAAAATTATTATCCAGCAAGCTCATGAATAAAATTCAGAATTTACAAGGGAAAGATCACATTAAGACAGTTTTTTTGTTAAGCATACTACATATAAGTTAGTTCACATAGAATAAAATGATTTGGGATTGGGTTACTCTGTTACCACTAAGAGCGAGACTATGAAGCAGGAGCACAAAGGAAGAGAGGGAATCCGAGGGACATTGGCCTCCAGGTAAATGGTGCCTAGAAAAAATTTAGCAATTACAGGTATTCAAGTGGGGCTAGGAACATGGAAACACCATTTTTTCGGAATTTTACAAAGGATTAATTTGAGTGTAGGGCGTCCCAACTCCCAAGTATCCAAATGGAACTCTTTTTAGGATGGTAAGTGGCAGTTACTCGAACAATCCATGCAACATAGCCTATGATGACTCCTAAATATATCCAATGAACTTGGAAATTGAGCTTGATTAAGAAACAACCCTGAGCTTACAATCATCATCATCATGCAATTGTGCATCCCATAATGCCATAAGCTACTAAATTACCATTCTCCTAATAATTAGGGTAAAAAATTCGCAGGCTTGGGGAAAGGAGGAGTAAACGGTTTGCCAAATGCCATTGCCAACCAAAAAAGAAACAATCTTGAGAAAATAAATTTAGGCAGTAAGCTATTAGCACACACAAAAAAAAACAATTCTGAGTCGAGAAAAAAGAACTGAAAAGAGTGTAGCTGGAAAGGGGGAGCAATTCGCATACACTTTGGTCGCTTAGAAGTTCTTCTTGCTGTATGATTATCGGCGGATCCGGGAGCGGCTGTGCTGGACGAGGGCACGTTGGAGCTCATCACTCGAATATCTCCTTCTTCCCAATGAACTAAACGCGGTGGATTCCGATTCGGACCAAATTGGGTGAGAAACAGAATGAGATGATGGGGTTAGGTTTGCTGCAAATCGATTGAAGAATCCGTTCCCCCGTTCTTAAAGAACGATGGAGATTGACAAGTCGTGGCTGACTGTTTCTTCCTTTTTCTGGGACTTCTAGATGATCGATGGCGAGAACCGATAGAGATGGAGAAAGTCTTCGGCTCTGACTGTCTCCCCTATTCGCCAGAAAAAGGAAGAAGAAGAAAGGCGAGTTGTTGGGTGGAAGGTGGGTCCGCCTGAACACGGTTGGTCAAGTCACTCAGCCTCTAACACCCTTTGACTTTTGGTCAAATCCTGGGCCTTTCGGATGGAATCCTTTTTATAATTTTTTAAATCAAATTTTTAAATAAAATTTTAATATTGTACTCACTCCGTCCATAAATAATGTTCAGAGTTTGACTTAGCACGAAGTTTAAGAAAATGTAAAAAAAAAGCCTTTACTTTCCAACTTTGCCCTGTGGTTAATAAAAATAAAGAAATTAAAGGTAAAGGTGAATAAAGTTAAATAGTAGTGATTGGATAGATAAAGTAATGAAAATGATATGATTAAAATATTGTTAAAGTACAAGTGCAAGTACAAAAGTGGGGTCGTTGGAGTAAATTAAAGTGGGTGCTGGGTGAGAGGTATTAAAGGCATTTCACTTATAATTCTTTGCCTAATTTAGAAAGATGAACTTTATTTGTGGACGGACGAAAAAGAAAAGTACGAACATTAAAAATGGACGGAGGGAGTAAATTGATTCTGAAAATAATACTAAATTTGTTATTGTGATGATACTTATAAATCTTACTTTTCTTAAAATTGTAGATGATTATGCCCTCATATATAATGATGATGGCACACCAAGCATAATGCATGGGTTGAGTGGTTGACTAGTCGTATAATTAGTTACAGTTCTTTGGTTAGCATACACGCCCATCCCTCCCCCGGCTTATGGTAGTTGCAACGAAAATAAATTATTCCCATACATTTCCAGCACATAAATCTTTCCATCCACAACAAAACTGCGACGCACTTTAGGTGCTTTCTACAGAGTATGAGCATCTTCCCATTTTTTCTCTTCACTTTGAGTATTTAAATGACGTACACGCCTAATTGGTACATCATTCTTAGCTATATATTCCATGTCACTTATGATGAGAATATGAGAACCAACCGCAACAGGTATATGCCATAACATCTCATTCCTTGTGTGGCTCATGAAAGGTTCGAGAGATATAACCATTTGTTTCGACATTTACCCTTGCAGTAGAATATCAAACCATTTGCATACTTTGAAAATTGGATCTGTTTTAGAAGTATATAAGGCACCCAGATGAAAGAAGATTGTGGGCTGTTCTCGAATTTTAGCTTCTTCCATTTCACAATTGCATTCTTAATTGCTCCATTGTTCAACCCTAACATGAAGAACTACAATTCTTATTAAGGTCGTCTCATGAGGGCAAACATATATCGGTAATTAATGATCACATATTTTAAAGACTCACATTTTCAACCAATAAGAGGTTTAACTACTCAATGCAAGAATTATTAATAAAAAACGAAACATACTAACGGTACAAACTCATCCTGGGAAAGGGATACAATCGCAAAAGGGAATTGATTGAGTAGCAATTACGATGCCATGGGATGCAAGCAAGAGATCAAAATTTATCTTTTATTGAAAATAGCTAGAAAATGTCATAGTTATTAGTACGTATTGGCACATTATTTTAGACTAGTTAGCTATTATTGACATATTACCAAATAAAGAACCTCATTATCAGCATTCGTTCCGGTAACTATTTCCAATTTTGGCTGTTGGAATGAGAAAATATAGAACCTTCACCAATGCGAAAGGACGATAATCAAAACAAGTTGGCTTCGAAAATGTCAAAAGAGATAGAACATAGAAAATTAGAAAATACGTAGTAGTTGAAATATGTTCAGTTAGATTTAAGAAAAGTGTAGACAAGTATATATACATTTTAGGAAAATTAAAATTTTTTATGTGACATATAAGATCCAAAAGTTAAAACAATTACACAATATTAATTGGTAGGGAGTAATTTTTTTTAATGTTTATTCGAAAATTGGTAATAGATGAGAAATTATTTGGTCGATTTTCACTTCTCAAAATTGCACCCGCCCAACAACATCATGTTCATCGTTTCTTGTTTGCAATTTGCTCCTAGCTAATTCTCAACTCGAGGAGCTGCTTCTCTAAAATTGCAGTCAATCTCGAGCAGAGCACAGGAATAGAGAATATCTAAGGTCATGGGGCAACCTCCGGTGCCGCCTCTCCCAATCGCTCCCCCGCCACCAGCTCCGGCCGCCGCAGCGCCCCCCAGCGACGGAAGAGCCGGGGGTTGCCAAGTGCGGTGTGCCGGTTGCAAGATGGTGTTGGCTGTCGGACCCGGACTAACCGAATTCATGTGCCCCACATGCCAATTGCCGCAGATGCTCCCTCCCGAGCTCATGCCCCCCGCCCAGGCTCGCAGCAACGGCCCCGCCCATGGCATCGATCCTACCAAGATCCAGTTGCCATGTGCTAACTGTAAGGCCATTCTCAACGTCCCCCACGGCCTCACTCGCTTCTCTTGTCCCCAGTGCGGCGTCGACCTTGCTGTTGATCTGTCCAAAATTAAGCACTTCTTTCCGTCTCCACCCATCCCCAATCACATGCTTCCACCCCCACCAGAAGAAGTCAATGAGGTTTTCTCTTCAAACTCTTCTCTCCCGTATTGGAATTAATATGAAGAAATTTGCAATTTTAACAAGCCTGAAAAGTTATACTGTCAGATATGCCCAATTGCACATACTTGTAGACGAAAGAGTGCATATACTTGGAACCTGTATATTGTAAAGTTCAACTATTTATTCCATATTTAACATGGTATGGATGATAAAAATGACTCCTTGCTTGATTCTGGATAGGGCATGACGGTCATGTATTAGCCAGTGATCTTTTATTGCAACTTTTCAACACATACATAACTTGAATTTTGTTGAGGTGAAGTACCTTATTTCTCTGCTCTTAGGTTGCCATTGAGGTGGAACGAGAAGAAGATGAAGGGGGTTTGGCTGGCGAAACTTTTACAGACTATGTAAGCTTTAACTCGTGCAACATTTTTTTTACCACCATCATCTTTTATATACGTCTGGATGAGCTATCCACTGAAACACAGAACTACAGGAGGGGGGGGGGGACTCATTTCTTTATTTTGTTTGCCTTTATGCAGCGGCCTCCCAAGTTATCTATTGGACGCCCTCATCCAGACCCTGTTGTGGAGACATCATCCCTGTCTGCAGTGCAGCCGCCCGAGCCTACCTATGATCTAAAGATCAAAGATGACCTGGAAAACTCATCAGCACTATCTTGCTTGCAGATTGAAACATTGGTGTATGCTTCTCAGGTATCTTCTGCATTAAGCTCTCTACGTTGATAGCAGGTTTCTTCACTAATGATTTATATTCATATTTTCCCTCCATCCTTTGGAAACAGTCGCTCTTAAACATAGGGGTATGACAGCGTACATCCAACCCCCCTTACCCTGCAATGGGCGGGAGCCTTTGAGGCACAAGGGTAATGTTGCTGTATGCTCCCTCCATCCAAATTTAGTTGCCCACTATCTCATTTTAGGATTCCGGAATTAATTCTCCACTTTCTATGTTTAATAAAAGAATGATTCAGCATTATAAAAAGTGCCCCATCAAAACATATTAGCATTGTTGCCATCAAGGATAGACTACATCAAATATTGTAATATAATCCTCATTTCCTAATATGAGTTTTTTTGAAAGTGGACTTTTAAATCAAGATGGGAGTAATTTTTTTGGGGTCTGGCTTATGACAGAGGCATCATCAGCACCTCTCAAATGGCACCAGAGCTGGATTTTTTGTTGGTGATGGAGCCGGTGTTGGGAAGGGAAGGACAATTGCAGGTTTGATATGGGAGAATTGGCACCATGGAAGAAGGAAAGCTATGTAAGTTAATTGGTTGGTGTGTTGCTTACGTCTGAATTGCTTTTACTATTTTTGAATATCTGAAGGATATGTATTTTATAGGATTTCTACAACTTATAGGGGTTCATCAGTTTCTGTTTTAAAATAATTACTCCTTCCCATTCAATGATTTTGATTTCTAAACTTTTTTGTTCTCCCAAAAGAGAGTCCAATTTGAATGGAAAGACCTGTTTTTCATCACATTTAATTTTTTCTTGGTAAATACCAAAGTGTCACAAGTAAGTTAAGCGTATTTTTAGTTAGTTAAACCAACAAATACATTTTGAAAGTGTAGGTGCATTTGATGATTTTTAAAAGTTTTAGCTTACTAGAATTAAGAACCCTTGTAAAAAAGGACCCTTTTTATGGGATGACGAGAGTATTTTTATCCCACGCTTCATTAATTAGAAGAAATAGTTAATTTTAATGCTTTAAATACTTGAAATGTGTAATAATTTGATAATTGTAGATCAATACCATTTTTTGTTGACTAGAAGCTACATTTTCCCATTTCAACTTATGAACGAGATAAATCGGTGTTTATCTATTGATGCTTCCAGTAATTGAGACTCATTTCAGCATTATATATGACAATCTAATGCCCTTTAAAAATATTTGCTCCTACATTTTCCTATGTGGGTAAGAGCCTTAGAAGGCACTAAAGTAATGTTGTTGTTGATATATTTCTAGATGGATCTCTATTGGTTCTGATTTAAAATTTGATGCAAGAAGAGATTTGGATGATGTGGGTGCGATGTGTGTCGAAGGTAATTTTTTGTTTCTTCCACAAGTGTATTTAAGTGGTTGGATTTTAAGCAATCAACTTAATTTTGCTATTTCCACGGAAATTCCACCAACCGGTCCTTCTCGTGTTGTTCATTGGGTTGCATATCTTTGTGGGATATCGTCATTCTATTGTTGGTGTTGTCTACATTTTACGAAGATACAATGACCTTTTGTAGGTAGCCTGCATAGCCCATATACCGATTTGTGAGATTTGAAGACACAACCCATATACATTGACCTTTTATAGGTAGACTCTAAGCCCATATACATTGACCTTTTATAGGTTGTTGCAGATGTTGTGCAATGACCGGTAGTTGTGAACTTGAAGTCACCTAATTGGAAGTGTTCTTACTTTTTAGTAAAGTTTGAGATTTCGTAATGTTTTCTGCACCTAATTGAAAGTCCACATAGGCAACACACATGCCTTTGATAAGAATTAAAGATTAAGACATCTTTATTCGTGGCCGCCATGTTTCATTATGGCATGGTCTCTCTTAGAAACAACCACTATTTAGATATGCTG